CGTCGCGCAGCATCGCCTGGGCGGCGTCGAACACGCGGCGAAAAGGCCCTACCCCTGGTCGGCGAGAACCCTCTCCCTTGATGCCGTCTCTGCGGATGGGCTGGCGGGCGTAGTCGCAGGGCCATGGCGTAGCGGATCAGCTTCTTGGCGAGCTGCTGGTCGCCCGTGGGTTCGGCGCCGCTGCGCGAGACGTCTGCACCATCATCGTCGGCTTCCTCTGGGTCTGGGTCTGGATCTGGGTCTGCGTCTGCGTCTGCGTCTGCGTCTTCCTGCACGGAGCTCTCGCGTGTCCTTCGCTGGCGCGGTCGCTGGTCGTCGTCATCGGCGTCGTCGTCTACCTGTACGTCTGGGTCAGTGTGGCCGCGGCTGAGAGGTGGGGTCATCGGCATACATCTCGTCGTCTCCTGCTGCCGGCCGGCATTTTTTTCTGTCGGACCAATTTCTTGTTGAGCTGAAGTGAAGGAAGATGGGTTCCTCGACAATCAGCAGTCAGGAAACAGCATCATGATGCTTCTTGCTCGTCGTCTCGTCGTCTCTTCGACAGTGACCGCGTCGCGCGTTGAGAGGTGTGGGGCCTTTCGAGACCAAAAAGTCTTATCTTATCACTCCCATGTGCCTTCCGCTTGGGGAGGGCAAAATTCAGAGCTCGACACGCCTGCGCTCTGCGCTCGACATCAACCGACGAGGCTACAACATCCAACTGACGAGGCTATATTCAACTGACGAGGATACAACATCCAACCGACGAGGCTATATCCAACCGACGAGGCTACATCCAACCGACGAGGCTATATCAAACCGACGAGGAAGACTGTCCCGATGCTCTCCAGAGCCGCCAAGGCCCGCGGTCTCTGCCTTCCATGCCAGCTGAGGCGCCTCGCCGGCTCGCAGCCCAGGGCACCGCTGAGACTCCACGCCCACCCCCTTCGCAACGCTTCGGCTCGCCAGCTGCGTCTCTACAGTGCCGAAAACCCCTGGGCGCGCCTCGAATCAGCCAAAGACGTCCTGGAGAAGAAGACGAGACCGTCGAGGCCGCCGTCCCAAGACGATACCCTGCCGTGGACCGTCGAGGCGGACAGCAAAGCCGCACAAGACGGTCTCGCCAACACGACGACTGTGACGCAGCCCCCCTCGAAAGACGACTCGCTGGAATGGCTCGACCAGCTGGAGCCCTCTGGGCCTGACGAGTACCTCGGACCAGAGTCCCTCGAGCCAGAGTCGCTCGAGCCAGACACCGACCGCCGCCGACGAGGACCGAAACGGCGCACGGCACGCGGTGCCTCTGCCAACTACACGCCCCGAGACGTCGACACCGCGACGGACGGCCGACCCCAGCAGCACGGCGACACAAAGGAGAGGGTCCATCACGGGCGCATCGGCCACCGGCGCGTCACGCTGCAGCCTGAGGCGCTGGACGTCGAGATTCTCGGCCAGAGGGCCCACACCATTGTCATGCGAGACAACCTGCGACCGAGGTCGCGGCGCGCCATCGAGGAGGCTGCCGAGGAGGCCACCATGACGGAAGAGGCGTCCGACGCCGCCATGCGCGCCAGGGTCGACGCGCTGCAGGACAGGGCGTCGCCGACGAGTCCCTCCGCCAACCTGGAGGAGCTGCGCCCCCCAACGCGCCTGCTGTCGAGCAACGAGTTCTGGG